GACCCCGTTGTGCCTAGGTGCTGTACAAACATAGAACAAAAAGACTGTTCCTGCCCCAAGGAACTTACAATATAAGATAAGAAACAATAGGTGAATACAGGCAGGGATTACAAAGAAACAGTGAGACAATATTGGTCGGCATGATGGGCAGTGATCTCTGCACACCAACTACCTACCCGGCATCACAGTTATACTTCTTCAATGAGACTTTTTGGCATGACTAGCTGCATGAGCATTGCCAAAGTGTGAGAAAAAGACCGACCTCTCAGGTATCTGTCAAGGGTGGGTAGGACCCATCTAACACATCGGCCTTCTTTCTGGGAGTTTGATTGTAGTACAGCCTCAATGGCTAATGCACCTGTCCCCGTAGTTTGTCAGTGCCAGAAAATGTGGGGGACAGGATAGCTTAGAGGATTGGAAATCGGACATCGAGCCTTTGGCCTGGAGTAGGTGACTAATCCAAATGTGGTCGCAGATCAGTAGTGGATGAAAGCTATTATGATCTGAATGCCGGTTTGTGCCCTAGGGCATGTGAAACAATTTGGTTGTTGAACAAGTGGCCACTACCACAGTTAGCATCACACTGCTTCCTCGTTGGCTGCCTCAGCAGAGAGCCCAAGGACTGACTGGAGCATGGGGTCTAAACTCACTCCTCGCACTGGGTGCGTTCTTCCAAAGGAGGTGGGAGATGTTCGTGGTGGATGGGAAGCTCTCCCTGCAGTTGGCTGGGCTGTTCCCTCTCTGTGGACACACCCAGGGCTGTCAATCCAGCACCTTTGCTGGCGCTAAATTCACTTCAAGTAATGAACCTGGAAGCCCAATTAGTATCTGCAACATCCCCCCATGTGGCTTCCCGGGGCAGCTGCATTCAGACGCCATGCAACCATGTTCCCACCGCAGCCGCCCTTCCCTCCTCTCAGAATACTGGCTGCAACGGAGATGTATTCTGTTCCTATGACAACCCAAACAATATTACCTTGACTTAAATGGATTCAGGCGATATTAAAACCGGCCTCTTTAGGAATTCCTAGTGTTGGAGGGGCTGAGAATTTTAATTTTGTGTAATGCGAGCTGACACCGTGTTTATGAGCTGCTTGCTGAATGTTTTCTTCAATTAGTACAAAGCAGAGCAGATTTGTTTTCAGGGCTTAGCTTGGGAGAGGGAGGGTGTGGGGCTCATAGTGCCTATGTGAGATTGAGTTATGTTACAGCAGCTGTGCATCCCTCAACTGATCACAGCTGGGAAGCCCATCCTATGAAATCCAGGTGAGATGGCCAGCACCTGAAGGGGTCTTTAGACAAGACTCGCTGACTGCCTCGTTCTAATAGGAGTAGGGTAAAGGAGCTAGTTAGCTTGCACCTATAGGGAATCTGGGGATGGGCAGGCCTCTTCTCCCTGACATCTGTTTCCAGGTATCTTTGCTCCACCTAGTATCTCTCACAGCTTTCACATTTAAAACCAGTGCACACACACAAACACATGCATTTGCACACTCAGGACATTCACCTGACCTTGTGCTTATCTCTACCATACCCTGTCCCGTGCAGGATCAAGCCCAAAGCAAGTTTTATGTCGGGAAGTTTCTCTTTCCCTGCCCCTCCCAAGCAATACTCAACGATTAGCCTGCAGAACTCATTGCCACGGCATATCATTGAGGTCAAAGGCATGGACGGAACAAGGATTAAAAAATAGCTTAGATATTTCTCTGGATAATGGAAATTTCCATAGCTGTCATGGTAAGTATTTAAGGATTTGTACAAGAACTAAACCCTCTTTCAGGGCAGGATCCCTGCTTCGGACTAATGGGAGTCAGGAGGGAGAGCTATCCTGCAGAGTGGCTTGTATTCCTAATAATTCCTGAATTCCTAATATTTCAACTGTTATGTCTGTAGCCCTAGCCATATGCTGGACCCATCCCTCACCTTCTAAAAGCCCGCCTGTCTGGGTGCACAAGAATGGTAGGGTTGGGGTATGTTACAGGAGTGTGACTGGACCTGCTGCTCCTGGGAAGAACTAGCTGAGACTAAACATGATTCTTGGGTCTTGCTAAAGACCCAAGAATCTTCATGTCATGGAGATTTGGTCTCAAGTGTGGCACATACACAAATAAGTCCCATGCCCAGGAGGGAAAGTCTGCAAACCAAGGAGACAGTGGAGAGCCTTTGCATTTAATAGTTAGGGTAGTTTGCATTGAGATCTAATTCCAGACGACAGGATGGGAACGTTCAGTGACGCCTGCTCTGCCTTTTTACAGTTACCACAACCAGTACTAGAGCACTCTTCTGCACACAAAGGCATCACAAGATCCAGTGGCTGGGCTCTGCCACTAGACAAATGCAAACTGGAAATAAGTAATTAGCTAGTAATTAGCCATTGGAACAGTGTCCAAAGGGATGTGGTGGATTCTCTATCACTTGGAGTCTATAAATGGAGACTGGGGCTACGTCTTCACTACGGGGGGGGGGGGGCGATTTAAGATACACAAATTCAGCTACACGAATAGAGTAGCTGAATTCGACGTATCGCAGCCAACTTACCCCGCTGTAAGGACGGTGGCAAAATCGACCTCCGCGGCTTCCCGTTGACGGCGCATACTCCCACCTCCGCTGGTGGAGTAAGAGCATTGATTCGGGGATCGATTGTCGCGTCCCGATGAGACGCGATAATTCGATCCCCGAGAGGTTGATTTCTACCCGCCGATTCAGGCGGGTAGTGTAGACCTAGTCTGGGTGTCTTTCTAAGAGAGGTGCTCTAACCTAACCACAGACCATTGCAGGACACCCTGGGTGAAATTGGCTGGCCTGTGCTTTAGGGTGACCAGATGTCCCGATTTTATAGGGACAGTCCCGATTTTGGGGTCTTTTTCTTATATAGGCTCCTATTACCCCCCCCCACCCCATCCCGATTTTTCACATTTGCCGTCTGGTCACCCTAGCTATGCAGGACGTCAGACTACATCAACAATAAGGTCCCTTCTGGGCTTAAATTCTAGGACCATAAATAACTTGTTACTCGGTAATAAGTCACATGCTTGTAACTGATCACAGATCACAGTTAACACGGAAGGGTTTACTTTGTCTTTTCACCTCCGCCTGCCACACGGGGTGCTGGTGTCAGAGAGGAACAGATCTGTATGCAGCCCACCTCTGGGACTGTGCATGGAGCACGCATCCCACCTGCTCCTTTGGGGCAGTGTGTGGGTGTGGGTTTGGTTTTTAAACACGTGACTCAGTGGCAGCGTTTTTCTTTATACTGAACTTCTATTTAGGATGACCAGACAGCAAGTGTGAAAAATCAGGACAGGGGGTAGGGAGTAATAGGAGCCCATATAAAAAAAAGGCCCAAATATCGGGACTGTCCCTATAAAATCGGGACATCTGGTCACCCTACTTCTATTTCAAACTCAATTTTTTAAAGTAAAACATGAATCACAAAAAGACCGGGGGGGGGGGGGGGGGAATGCAGAGAGAGATGGAGAGGAACACAGACAGAGAAGGAGAGAGAGCAAGAAATCCCACGTGGCTCCAGCTGGAATGTCCCAGCCACTTCAGGCGAAGGCCATCGCGCAGCACAACTCCATGGTGGTATTTGGAAGGGATGAGCTCTCCCCTGTAATCCTCTCCATCCCGCTCCGCAGAGTTTGCCAGGAGGATTAACCCAGTCTTGTTCTCAATCCCAGTTTATGAGTTCCCTGCTGGTGGGGAAGATCCTGTGTGTTTAAACAACAGCCTAATTAATCCCCATTTTATTACTTTCTCTTGTCAAGTGGCTAAATAGAAGCTGTCAGCCGGCAGCCACCGTGCTCACATTTGTTTAGATCCCAAATTACTTCATCAGAACCATCTGCTCTGAACGCCGGGCACTCAGCGATTGTTTATTTCTTTCTCAGGATGCCGCAAGGGGCACAAACAGCCTCCTCCGGGGCTCCCCGTGCCGGATCCGTACAGTCCCCGGGGACTACGTTATTAAAATGAGTTTAGGGGTCTCGAAGGAAGCCCTACCTGCTGAGACCACACTAACAGACTGAGCCGGGCAGCATGGTCCCTGGGGGCTTCTCAGGCTGCATTCACTGACTCCACTGGCCTGAATAGAGTGAGATGTATTGGCCCTGAATGAGCCTCCAGCAAAGTTCATTCAAGAGCAGAAGAGGCACTCGGGACAGCCACACCAAGGAGGGCAGCGTGGGCGCTGACTCCACAGGGGTTGAAAGGCCGGGCAGGCCGTGTTCCTTGCAGAGCTGGCTGGGGAAGTCAGGGGCAGCATGGGCCAGGAGCAGTGGACCTAGCCCAGAGAAACCACTACCCATCTAGGGGTTATTTATGATACCTGTAGGGCCGGATCCTTAGCGAAGGTCAGTGGGCACAGCTCCTTTGACTCCACCAACGGCCTTTTATACACGCTGATGACCTGGCCCCTGGTTTCCATATTCCACTTTGTGGTGCTTCCCTGGGCCCTTTCCCACGCCCCAACCTCTCCCCCTCCCCAGGTCACTGAGCTGGTAACCCAAACTCACCTGCTCTCTGTCATCCTGTTCAGAACAGCCGCCTGGCAGGCCCAGCCCGACCCTGCCTCAGTGGCCTTGGGCCTGTGTCAGCCCCCAGAGCACCCGGTGCTGCTGTTTTTCTGTCCTCCCCGCCGCATGGGAGAACTGGAGCCTTTCCCAGCTGCTGCGGAGCCCCCGGACTGGTGGGACTCCTGACGCCTCGTACATCTGCTCTACCCGCTCCAGTTATCAATGCAGGCATGTGCACCATGGCATCACAGCGCCTGTCCGTATCTAGAGGAGAACAACATTCACCCTGAGCCGCTGCTCCGACTAGTGAAGCCCCAGTCATAACCGGGACCCCCTTAAACCACTCCCGTATCTAGGTGTTATCCCTATCAACCCAATACTTCCCATAGCTCCAATACCCCCCTGATTCCCTCCTAGCCCCACTGCCCCCTTAGCCCTAACCCCTAGGCCCTGTCTGACTGCTTTGTTCCCTCCCTGGCCACACAGGCTCTTCCAGACCAAGTGCAGCAGCTGCCTGAAGGCGATTGCCCCGTCTGAGTTCATCATGCGGGTGCTGGAGAACGTCTACCACGTCCACTGCTTCTTCTGTTGCGAGTGCGAGCGGCGTCTGCAGCGTGGGGACGAGTTTGTGCTCAAGGAGGGGCAGCTGCTGTGCCGCAGCGACTATGAGAAGGAGAAGGAGATGCTGAGCGCCATCAGCCCTGCGCCCACTGAGTCTGGTGAGGGGCCACAGGAGGCCTACATCCTCGGGGCCAATGGGGAAGGAGGGGCTGGGGCGAGTGGACCCCCCTCATAGGGCTGGGAATGAGGGGGTCAGGGGACCAGCCCCCTCAGCCCTGGGGTTCACGGCACAGCTAATGTAGGGTGTTGCAGGGATACTGCCTGGTCCCCAGGGGACAGGGCTGTAAGATTGGGAGATGTGGGATGCCCATGAAGGGGTCCAGTCTGTGTCCTCTGAAGCATCTGTCCCCTGACCACTGTCTGAGCCAGGTCCTTGGACTAGACCGATGGTCCCTTGGTCTGATCCAGAGTGGCAGGGAGGGAGTGAATGGCGGGACACTGGTGGTCTGATCTGAAGGGTCGGGGTGGATGGATACTGGGCTAGAAAGGCCCATTGGTCTGATCTGGGGTGGCCAGTGGGGAATAATACTGGGCTAGATGGGCCTCTCTGGTTCTATGCACCGTGTCTCAGGACCGGAGCCCTTGTGGGCCTGGCCCTTGCTGAGGACGTAAGGGACCAAAGACCTGAAAGGGGAGGAAATTTCCTGGCTTCGCTGCTACAGCAGCTGAGCCAGAGAGGCCCCGGCCTGCCAGTGGCAGTAACAGCGAACGGTTCCCCTTCCAGTGAAAAGCGAGGATGAGGATGGCAGCCACTCCCACGGCAGAGGCAGCGAGGAAGGCAAGGACCACAAGCGCTCCAAGCGCCCACGCACCATCCTCACCACTCAGCAGCGACGGGCTTTCAAGGCCTCCTTTGAGGTTTCCTCCAAACCCTGCAGAAAGGTAGAGTGCAGGAGGGAGCTTCCTCACTGCCTGGGCCAGAGTCCCCGCCCGGCTCTTATGCCCGTAAACCCCCCTGTAGTCCTATGGCCTCAGAGCCCAGAGTCCTGCCTCCACGCTCCCAGCTGGGCTGCAAAGCAAGCGCTTCCAGAACACACCCCAGGGGAGCAGGGAGAGACCAGGTTCCCTTCTGACCGTGCGTCCGGCCCAGCAGCAGCGTGGCGCATATACCGTGGCTATATGCCAGCTGTCTCTCTGCACTGCAGCTTTAAGCCTCAGCACAGCTTGGCAGCCAGCTTGTTTTCATTTCAGTGCAGATGGTTAGAGAGGAGATGCACACACTGGGCCAGATGTTCCACTGCCTTGCATCTTGTGCTGTCACTTACGCCAGGGCAAAGTGGGTGCCTTCTGATCTGGGAGCGTTTCACACCCACTTTCCACTGGCGTGAATGATGGCACGAGGTGAACTAGGCCCACTCTGAGCCATTTCATAGACAGCAGCATCCGTTGTTCTCTTTCTCCTCTAGATAGTGTCAGGTGTTTATAGTACTGTGCAGATGAATAGAAAGACAAGTTGCCTACCTTGGGGGGTTCAGAGTAATGACAGAAGTGATGTGGTAAACAGGAGCTAGGGAGTGAGAGATTCCTCCTTTTAGATACTTTTCTGTGCCGGTCATTTTCTAAACTCTTGAGAAGGGACAGCTTCTCGGAGGAACTTACAATCCTAGGACAGACAAAAACACAGAAGTTAGGAGTTCAAGTCAGCATGACTCATTATAGGCAGCAGGGTAGATTTGCAGCCGGTGTGAGTTTCTAGGAAGGATCTGGAAAGGGCAGGTGCACTGCACAAGGTTAGGTAGGGACACTGTTCTACCCATCAGCTGAGTTGATCGTTTTCCAATATAACAAAGCTCTAACTCACCTTTTCCAACTCCTCTCCCCTCTGCGGGTAGGTGAGAGAGACCCTCGCAGCTGAGACAGGCCTGACGGTCCGGGTGGTGCAGGTCTGGTTCCAGAATCAAAGAGCCAAGGTGAGTGACTGCTTCTCTCATCGGAACCAAGCTCGGTGGCCCGGATTCTCAATTGCACTGAGGCCCTTTGCACCGTTCTGGCAGTCTAACAGGGCAGAAACAGCTCTCTGAGAATCCCCCCTACACAGGGGGCCTCCCCAACTGGTGTGGAGCTGGTGATAAGACCCTGCTCCCAGACTGCGGCACATAGGGGTGGATTGAGGCCATGGCTGGTGTGCACTTTGCTCTGATATTCTGTGCTTCCCAGGGCCTATTAGGGCAACATGAAACCCTAGTGAGGCTCTCTGCGCTTCAGGACGAGTGTCTGTGTGATATCTGCACTGCTCCTTCACTAGGGAGGGGAAAGGCAGCTGCCCAGCAGGGAGTTAACTGCAGCACATTACCCCAGCCAGACCCTTCATGCGAACTTAGGGCCTTGCTTGCTTCTCCTGGCAGATGAAGAAGATCGCTCGCAGGCAGCAGCAGCAGCAGCAACAGCAGGAGCAGGAGCAGCTGGGCAACCCGCGTTTAGGGACCGGCCGTGGGACTGGCCGCAGCAGCAGACAGAGCAATGAGGACAGTGAAGGTGAGGCGTGGCAGAGCCTTGGGATCAGCTCCCTGCAACAGCCCAGGGGGGAGGCAATCTGGGACTGAGGGGGCTCGGCAGAGCTGTGCTGAAAGAGCAGGGGCGCTGCAAGGCAGGGCTGAGATACGCTGGCACAGCTGAGGGGAGAGGAAGTAAAGGGAAAAGTCTAGATTAGCTCCTGGCAGACGGTCGGGGGGACACCTGGTGTAATGCATAAAGCACACGGCTGGGACTTGGAATTCCACAGTTTCAGTCCCTGCTCTACTAGCATCCCTTTGAGACCTGGGGCAAGGCACTTCCCCTCTCTCTGCCTCAGAATCTGTACAATGATGATAAACCTAGTTCATAGGGTGTCACAAGGATTTATAAATCTCTTTTAGTCCTCGGATTCATAGATTCATAGATTCTAGGACTGGAAGGGACCTCGAGAGGTCATCGAGTCCAGTCCCCTGCCCGCATGGCAGGACCAAATACTGTCTAGACCATCCCTGATAGACATTTATCTAACCTACTCTTAAATATCTCCAGAGATGGAGATTCCACAATGTAAGGATGTAAGGAAGGAGCAGTAGGAGAGTGGAGAGTGAAAATTATCATTATTAAGTGTGACTTTTGAATGCTTCAGTACATCGGATGTCAGTGGTTTCTGACTACGCAACAGGAGGTCAGTTCTTTTACCAACTGGTGAATTCGGATTCTCTTCAGTTTAGCTTTTAAATAACAAAACCAATTTTTAATTTATGGCCATTTGACCTTTTACTCCAGGATTAAGGGTCCCATGTTCCCACACTAACAGCCCCTTCTCTTCACAGCACCTTAATGACAGTGAAAAGAATCCAACAGAGGTAGACTCAATCACTTGACAATATGGACCCGTCGTAAAAGCCTTGTCACAAGCCGTTTCGCCACACTCTGATGGCAGGACAAGATTTCCAGAAGTGACCTGTGATTTTGGATGCTCATCTTGAGATACCTAAAAAGGGCCCAATTTCCAGAGGGCAGGAACTCAGCCCTTTCCGGGTCTCTTTCACGTGTCTCAAGTTGGGCACCCAGAATTCACTAGTCACTTCTGAAAATCTTTGGCTTTGGTTCCACAGGTGTAAATCCAGAATAAATCCATGGATTTCCGTGGAGTCACTTTCAATTTACGCCAAAGTAACCGAACACAGAATCTGGCCCAAAGTAACAGTCTTTTATTGCGTGTTTGTGCAGAGCCCCATGTGATCTGCAGGGCCCGTTACAATGGAGCCTGATCCTGACAGAGGCCTGTGGGCATTACTGCAGTATAACACATCATAACATATCACCAGGATGGATTTTACTCTGTTCATATTCTGTACCCACTGCTTCCACCTGTTCCATTGATTCCACATTAGATGGAGCAAGTGTTCACGGACTAGATGGGCTCATGGTCCCCTATCCCAGGATTCCCCAGCAGCAGCTGCTGCCGCTGGATCAGAACAGCTACAGCACAGACTTGTACCGACAAGGGCTCACGCCGCCCCAGCTGCCAGGAGACCATCTGCATCCCTACGGTAAGCGGGTGGCGAGGAGGCTGATGTGACTCAGCGCCAGAGCTGAGCTCAAACCGCAGCCTGGAGTGGTCGGACCCAGTCCCACTGTTATTACTGTCTGACACATGCCCACCACAACCAGCGCAGAAAGAGACACCAGTCAGGACGTGGCCGCTGTACAGATGACGGAGGATTTAAGGGGTAATTTGTGTCTCATGCCTCTGTGGTTCAAAGCTGAGAAGGTGCCCATGAAGGAGAGAACCCCCCCCAACTCCATTCTTCACCAACCAGATTGGGGGGGAGCTCAGGGCTTCTGCCCTGCGGCGGGGTGGTGGGGCTAGGGCCTTCTGCCAGAGACGGCTGGTGCCTGCTGGAGGGGGGGGGGGAACAATTTAAAGGTACGCAAATCCTGGAAAAAATCTGGGCGGGGCAAGTGATCCCATGTGTCCCCCTCATGCATCACCTCTGGCTTCTGCCCAGCGGGGAGGGGGCGACTCAGGGCTTCAGCCCCACGGGAGGCATCTGCTGGGGCTTCAGCCCTGCAGAGCACATGTGCCAGGGCTCAGGGCTTCAGCAGGAATGGGGCTTGAAACCCCAAGCCCAGTCAGGGGCCTCCCGCGGGGCTGAAGTTCCAAGACCCCCCTCCCTGCAGGGCTCAAACCCCACGACCCCTCCATCCCCGCAGAGCTGAAGCCTCGAGCCCAGTCCGGCGCCTCCTGCAGGGTTGAAGCCCTGAGCCCTGGCAGACATGTCCCGTAGGATGGCAGGGTGTCGGGACCCTGGTGGCTCTGGTCAACACTACTGACTGGGCTGTTAAAAATCTGGTTGGTGGGGCTGGCAGGCTCCCTACCTGGGTCCGCACAGCTCCCAGAAGCAGCCAGCATGTCCCTCTGGCTCCAGCCAGGGGGGCTCCGCTCGCTGCCCCCGCCCCATGCACTGGCTCCACAGCTCCAATTGGCCAGGAATCACCTCCAATAGGAGCTGCGGGGGGCAGCGCCTGCGCACGGAGGCAGCACAGAGCCGCCTGGCTGCTCCTATGCCTAGGAGCCGAGGGACATGCTGGCTGCATCCCGGGAGCCACCTGAGGTAAGTGCTGCCCGCACCCCGCACCCTCTCCCGCATCCCAACCCCCAGCCCTGAGCCCCCCTGCCACACCCAAACTCCCTCCCGGAGCCTGCACCCCCTGCCCCAGTCCTGAGCCCCCACACACACCCAAACTCCCTCCCAGATCCTGCACCCCACACCCCCTTCCGCACCCCAGTCCTGAGCCCCCCCCCACACCATAACTCCCTTCTGGAGCCTGCACCCCACATCCCAACCCCCTGCCCCAGTCTTGAGCCCCCTCCCACACTCAAACTCTGTCCCAGAGCCTGCCCTCCGCACCCCCTCCTACAACCCTGCCCCAGCCCTCAGTCCCCTTCCCACACCCAAACTCCCTCCCAGAGCCCCCACCCCACAGCCCGGAGCCCCCTCCCTCACCCTGAACTCCTCATTTCTGGCCCCACCCTGGAGCCTGCAACCCCAGCCGGGACCCTCACCCCCTCCTGCACCCCAACCCCCTGCCCCAGCCCGGTAAAAATGAGTGAGTGAGTAAGGGTGGGGGAGAGCGAGCGACGGGGGGGGGATGGAGTGAGCAGGGGGTGAGGCCTCAGAGAAGGGACAGGTCAGGGGCGGGGCCTTGGAGAAGGGGCGGGGCAGGAGTGGGGCCTCAGAGAAGGGACAGGTCAGGGTGGGGGCGGGGCCTTAGAGAAGGGGCGGGGCAGAAGTGGGGCCTCAGAGAAGGGGCGGTCAGGGGCGGGGCCTTGGAGAAGGGGCGAGGCAGGAGTGGGGCCTCAGAGAAGGGGCGGTCGGGGCGGGGCCTTGGAGAAGGGGCGGGGCAGGAGTGGGCCCTCAGAGAAGGGGCGGTCAGGGGCGGGGCCTTGGAGAAGGGGCAGGGCAGGAGTGGGGCACAGGTGTTCGGTTTTGTGCGGTTAGAAAGTTGGCCACCCTAGTGCCCCGGCCCTTGAACTTCTGAAAACTGTCGTATGTGGCTCGGAGGGTCAGTATTTTTGGCCACCCCGGGACATAGGGTGACATTCATGGCCAGCACAAGTCCTAGCTCACTGCCCGCCAACCCCTCCCCCTTGGGCAGTGCACATCACAAGACTTAGACACCATTCAAGTGCCACTTACGTCCTAATTTGAAGATTTAAGCAGGACTTAAAGAGTGCGTAGGTATGGTGCCAGGCCCTGCCCATGGGTGAGGGGCTGGAGTAGTGGGGGCTCAAGCGAGACCTTGCCCAGAGGTGAGGAGTCACACGGGGGCTAGACTTCATGTTGGACTCTGCCCAGGGATAAATTTCACCCAATGTGAAGAATTGCCCTGTTTTTATCGTCCCCTTTTTTCTGTGCTGAGTCAGGCAGAGGTGACACAGGAGCCCCTGGTGGGACGTGCTCATGTCTTTCTCCAGTGGTGCAAATAGATTTTAACTTTTACCGGTACGGTACCGACCCCCCGACCCTGCCCCCCCTCACAAAAAATGTTCCATGACTAGAGTCCTGCGTGGATACAAATTTATACCTGCGGATGCGGCTATCTGTGGATAGAAATCAGTATCCGCTGAACCACAGGGCTCTCCCGGGAACTGCAGAGGCGAAAGGAACAGAATGTGGGGCTGCCGCTCCCAGGAGCCAGCGCCCCGTGCCGGCAGCTCCTCCAGCCCAGCTGTACCACCCCCAGCCCACCCTCAGCCCTTCCACGCAACCGCGTCTCCTGTCTGGGGTCTGTACAGCCCCGCTGGAGGACAGGGCTGGGGGTGGTACAGCCACACCGGAGGAGCTGCCGGCGCGGGCTACTGGCTCCTGGGAGCGGCGGCCCCACATTCTGCTCCTTTCGCCACTGAGGTTCCCAGGAGAGCCCTGCGGTTCAGCGAATACCGATTTCTATCCACAGATATTCACATCCGAGGAGAAATATTTGTATCCGCGCAGGGCTCTACAATTCATTCTTGACAATGTGTCTTTCCGGTATGGTGTACTGGCAATAAATGTCTTAAGGGTACAGCGTACCTGTGCGTACCGGCTTACTTGTACCATTGTCTTTCTCTCACTTTCCTTTTCTTCCTCCCCTAGACTCGGAGGGCGTTTTCCATGACATGGACAGCGACAGCATCAGCCACTTGGGAGACTGCCTGCTGTCAACAGCCGAAGCCAACCTCCTCCAAGCCCGAGTGGGTAACCCCATTGACCGACTCTACTCAATGCAGAGCTCCTACTTCACCTCCTGACCGTGGAAAAGGTCCTGGTCCTTTTGTGAGTGTCTTGGACAGACGTTGTTCTGAATTCAGAATGAGGAGTGGGGAGGAGAAACAGCCCTTCAGAGAAACTCTTTGAACCCTGCACAATGGAAGAGGCAGCTGGGTTTGCCAAGCACATAAGCACTAATTCATGAGGACCTTCCACAGCCCAGAGGACTCAACTGCGTTGCCTCTCCCCTCCTTTTCTCTAGCCACAAGTAGATGGGTGACATGATGTTGTTTAGCTGTAACTGTAGCGGTTTGTCCAGTGTTTATGCTTTAGAGCATTACATTCTTCAAACGAGACTGGCCACGTTGCCCAGAGTCAGGCTGGGAAGCAGCATCTCCTCTGTCGGCTGCATTTATTTAAACCTTGGTGCAGCTGATCCATTTGTGGTGCCATTGTGCCCCGCTGCGAGGGCTTTCACCAGCCTGCCCCCTCCTGGGCCTGCGTCATGGGACAACATTAATTTTCCTTGGGGAAGGCCAGTGACCGAGGATGCCTCTATTTGATACTACTGCCATTTTGGAGGCTGCCTTCAAGGGGGGTGATTTAGGCTTTTTAATGGCTGACACCATGGAGAAATGCAAGACAGGTTGGTCCCTGAGGGAAACGGCTTTGCTTGGGGACAGTATTCACCTTCAGGAACAAAAGATTATTTGGTCTCTATTATGATGCGAGGAAGCCAAGGGACATGTCCCTGAAGAGAGTAACGCATCTAGAGAGGCGTATCGGCCTCTCCCGACTGCCTCTGCGCCCCTCCCTTTAAAAGGAGGCTCACTCCATCCATTCAAAGTCGAATGAAGACCACATTCTCACAGCTGTAACACTGCAGATGCTGTCTGCACTGGCTGTTTGTTTCTTTTAAAACTAGTGGTGTGAACAGATCTTATTTAAACATGTTCTTACCAGAAACCCCTCCCTACATGTTTCCATCTCGAGTGGGATTTCTCCCCCTAACCATTTACCCAGTTCACTGGGACCGTCCACCATTTTGCTTCCCTCAAATACACAAGAAGAGGAAAGGGTTGAATTGTGTTATCTTGGAATGTGCCCTGTGCCAAGTCACTTCCACTCCAACAGCCTGAGTTTGTTCTTGACTTTGAAGGCAACAGGTAGGATGCCCAGAGTCCGCTGAGAGACCGCACTCTTTCTTTGGATGGGGAGGAGCAACACTTCTTCTCCAAGCATGAAGCTCTTACAAGCTCTCAGTGTGGGGCAGTTTAGGGTTAGAGATTAGCAGGCAGATTTGGGGTTATGGCACAGAAGATTTATAAAAGATGCCACAGACAGCAACAGGAGAGAGTGAGTGGAAGTTTAAATCAGATATTTAAGAAGAAAATTCTTTACTCGCTCACCCAGTATTTTATGTTTCAGATACTGTATGGACAGTTGGCACCCCCAGAAATGGCAAATGGTTCCCTGTGAGCCCCTTTTTGTGCAGGCTGGTGGAAGGAGTAAGAGCCTCCAGAATTTGCCTTCCCTCAGTTATTCAAACACTCATTGAGGAGAGGACATCTCCAATGGAAAATAATAACTTGGCATGAGCAGGATGTTTAAACCCTGATTCCTAGAGTTGCAAATCCAGCAATTAGGTTTGTGTGGCAGCTATCAGAGAACCTGGCTCACTGATGTTTCTGTACATAGTGTTGATTTTGGTTCTAAGCTCCCCCGCCTTATCAATCTGGTTTCAAAGTTATGCAAACCCTTCTCAAATGGAGAGGAAGAAAAGGCTAATCGTTATCATTGCTGTATTTCTGTGGGAGCCATTTGTGAACATTAATAATCATGAGCTGTAGGAGCACAGGAGACCCATTCCCAATATGCGTTGCCATCTGTCAGGACTTCCCCATTTAGTCAAGGGAGCTCAGATAGTGGTGCATAACTGAACCACAATCTTCATAAAGCTCATACCATCATTGCTTCCCCATTAATACAGTTGTGTAAATGTGCCATTCACCCACGGGCAGTCCCTTGCCTCTTTGTTTACAAAACAATACTTTTTATCTGGATTCTCCTACGGTCATCAGTAGTGGATGATTTTTGCCTTCCAGGCAGTTGTGTAAATAGTTTACAGATATTTTGATGTTTCGTTTAAGGGAAATGTCCTCTCCCGGGGAACTGGCAATTTGTGAGTTACCTCCATCCCACAGGCGAGTTCTGTGGAAGCAGATTTTCCCTGCTTCTTCCAGCCTGAGTTGCTGCACTTGGTCCATTCCCACCTCTGTTGTGTGTCTGTCCGCCCATAAGAAATGAGACTGAAAACTCCCAGCGCTGTTTCTTTCTTTCTTTCGGTGGCTTTTGCACTAGAAATGGTCTCAGTTTAGATTAAATTTTAAGAAAATGTTTCCGTGAACCATGTGCAAATTGATATGTTTCCTCCAAGTGCTGGAGGCAGCGTCACCCCTGAAATCCTACCCTTGCTCCCGTTGTGATCCAGTGCTGTAATGTGCCAGTGTTTTTGCATGTACATTTGGAAATAAAAACAAACTTAAAGCTGAAGTCTAAAGTTTGCCTAAGCACAAACAGACAAATTGTCTGTACCTTCACTCTGCTTAGATTAGATCTAAGTAGGCCTGTCCATCTAGCTACTTGCTGTGCAATCCCATGGGGATTTGGCCTGAGGTCTTCAGTGGGACATTTAATCAGAACCTCATCTTTCCCTGGGGTCAGACATCCTGGAGCAAGAAGTGAGGAACTAGTGCTAACAGCTGTTCTTACTTTGATAAAGAACCAGCAAATACAACACCAAGAGTCAGTTACAGTTAGCTGCAAGAGAAACTGAATTCCCCATAGGAACATAGACACTGGTAAATGATGTGAAGAACTATCCTAGGTGCTGGACCACTAGTGCCAGGGAGTCTAAAAAGATGACAGTGACCTGAGCTTCAGAACCAATGTTGAGATTCACTTGCAAGAACTGAAGGAGGAGATCACGGCCAGACAGACTGACCCCAGTTAGGAGAATTAGGAGGACTTCACCCTGGCATAGTCTGAACTTGTGCTGAATCAAGAAGTGGCTAGTCAGCCCGTAGGCACCAAACCAACAGCTGAAGTCCTTATAGTCTGAAAAACTAGCACATTTGCCAGGCAAAGTCCTGTTGCTTCGCTGATCTCAGCATCATTCTGAGGGACAGAGATGCTCTTAGTATTATCAGCATTGCCAGGTAGTTTCTGTGGCTCCCAAGGGCTGCAGTTTGTCCCAATGTGTTTTGCAGCAGCAACTCTCAGCTCTTGCCACCAAGGAATGACAAGAGGCTTGGAGCAGAGACAAAGGGCCAGTTGACATCAGTGCCAGTGGGAAGCAGCTGTTGTAAATGTGAAGGGGCGGGAGGAGTAACTGTGCATGTGAGACGATCCCAGGATATCCCCAGTGTGAGCTCTCGCTGTCATTGATCACTTTGTGCCCTCCGAGCTGGCCCTGAATCACCCGGATTGGTAAACGGTGGCTTTTCCTGGTGCGTGACTCCCACCTAATGGACAATCGAGTGCTAGCTGAGTTTCAGTTCTGTCCCCCCGGACTGCGTGTTCCTGAGTCGTCCAAAAGTTTCTGACTGGATCACAACTGCGGGGTTCTCTTACTGATATGCCCCAGGCCTCTGCTTTCTTGGTTTGTTTGCTGTCATCTTCCTAGGCTGTTCCTTCCTGTCCGTCTGCTCTGGTATTTGTGACTCGGGCGGCTAGTGTGGCTCCACAGGTGTGACATTGCTGAGTCCCGGTAAGTTGGCGTTTTCAGGGAGGGAGGCTGTCAGCCTTGCCCAAGGCTCCCACATACCAATGGTTCCCGACTCCCAGTCTTGTGGTCAGACATGTTTGTTTTCTGTGTGTCTAGCTACACTTTCAAGATGACGGTTGACCAGAAGACAAGGGTGCTCCCCTCTGCCCATGCAGCCTCTCTCATGCCTAGCAGCGACTCGATGTCAGCTGGATGAGAGCCAAGTAAAGCAACCGTGTGTGTGAATGGAATGTGGTTCTGCACAGCTCTCTACCCTCTGCCACTGCCCATGTCAGCCCTGGGCCTGCCAGCAGTACTAAATCTTCCCCATGACTGCCGACACCAAAGGAACATGCTGATTTATGGCTCTTTTAAATAAGAGAAACAGAGTGTAAAATTAGAGCATTTTCTGGATGAAAAATTAAAGGGATGTTTTTGTTAGTTCCTCATTCTAGGCTCATGTGTAATTCACCTTGTTGGTTTTAAAGTTCCACTTGAAAGGAAACTTGACTTCAACAGAAGTTAAAGTACCAGGCTGCAAGACTCCCAGCACACTTAATTTCATATTCAGAGGGTTCTAAATCAAAAGGAAACAGAGGAAAAACAGCAAAGAATTAACTGAACTAATGATCTTTGGCTTTCTCTCTCTTGTGGACCTCAAAGCCCTTTACATGCATTAATTAGCTAACCCTCATTACTCCCTGGCAAAACAGGTGTTATGTGTTTCAGAGATGAGGAAACAGAGGCAAAGAAAGGTGCAGTGGCTAGTCCCAAGGTCACACAGCAAATCATTGGTTGAGCTGGAAACAGAACCCAGGAGTCCTGACGCCCAGGCCCCTGTTATACCTATCGGCCAACACGGCCTCTTGGCTGGAAATAAGAATCCGGAACAAGTGAAAGGGGAGAAAAGCAAAGTGCAGCAAGGTAGTTGAGAGATCATTATTGGGCAGAGGAAAGGAATGTCCATGCTGGAAGGTGAAATGATTTGAAGGGGGGAGGGATAGCACAGTGGTTTGAGCATTGGCCTGCTAAACCCAGGGTTATGAGCTCAATCCTTGAGGGGGGGCCACTTAGGGATCTGGGGCAAAAATCAGTACTTGGTCCTGCTAGTGAAAGTAGGGGGCTAGACTCAATGACCTTTCAGGGTCCCTTCCAGTTCTAGGAGATAGGTATATCTCCATTTATTATTATTGAAATAAAGCTTCCACTTCCATTTCTGCCCTCTGTGGTGTGGCCTCCAAAGAAGCCTGTTATTGCAGTGGCACAGATGGGTTGTGTGTGAATTAAAGGGCAAACACCCCAATAGAATTAACCCCCAGAGTGAGAATGTGTCAAATGTCTGTGACAGCCAGAAATGTTCTAGCGGTTCTGAAGTAACTTAGAACTTGGGGCTTTTTAGGCGCCTATCTGTGGATTCTGCAGGGTTTGAGTATTTATTTCAGGTCTGTTCTAAGTTTATGAGAACAATAAGATTGCCAGTCCACTAGAAGATGGCTCTAAATCCATTTTTGTGAGGCTCCCACCATGGAAAACACAGACTTACTCACTTATTGATTTGGGCCCTTTGGGATTAATTTCGCTGAACCTCTCTGCAGCCTTTGGCAATGGAGCAGAATGTATGGGTTTGATTGACTGCCCACGGACTTTTCTACTGCTCAGCCCAACACTGGTGCATCTCTAACTTCTAACAGCTTCCTGGAGTTGTTTGTATGGGTCTATTCTCTCTTGACTTGGGATGCAGTTTGTACCAGAGTCCAGCCATTCTTTGGCTGTAAGCATCCTTATGCAATAGATTCTCCATGTCCTAAGACACAGGAAATGAGGATGGGCATTTCCTGGATGTCTAATGTTTGTGTTTTGTTGCATGTATTTTCTGGTTCTCAGTAGTTTCAGTTTTCACCACTGTGGAAGGGAATCAAGCATCACTAAACAACCTGAACAGCCCAAAAACAGCAGTTGGATGTAAGAGTATAGAATTTGCATTGTCAGATCAGACCACTAGCCTCTGTAACCCAGAACCCTGACTCTTGCAGGAGCCAATACCTTATGTTTCAGAGCACTTCCTGCTTCCATGGTGCTGGCTCCTTCTTATTTCCAACTGCTACACTGCGTTAAAGCAAACCAGATGCCCACTGGTACTTCCCTAATGTTACATACCCATCCCAGCAACTGCTGGCACCATGATCTTATTCTATCACAGCCAGAGGAGATGGCCCACATGTTTGCAAAGGGAAGAGGAGGTGGCCATGAAAAAAAAAACCCTCTATAAAACTATAGTCCACCCTATGAAAAGATTTGAGACCCCACTGCTGCAGAGCCAGATGACGAAGACTACAGCTGATCAGCTGTGCAATACTATGCAGAGCTAAAAAATCCTTCAGGTCAAAGGAGTGAAAAAATGCCACATGCTCCCTGCAACCAGTCCCTGTGCATGTGCAACTTTAAAGGAGACGGACTGTGGGTGATGATCTTCATTTATAAGACCATTTGCCCCCTGCCTTTCCACAGAGGATTTGCCAAATGCGACGAGGCCATTGGTTCATTTAGTTCAGGAATCTGCCTCCAGCAGTTCTTGATAACTTTGGGGGAAGGCAACCTTTTAAAAGCTGGCCACCTATGCAATTCTGCCCCATGAGGGCAGGTTCCTTCCTCAGTCCTGCAACACAGGGCTTTATGATCCTAGTCTACGCAAAGGTGCATGACGTACATTCTGCATTCAGAAGAAAACCTACCACCGCCTTGTTACGATGTCCTCAGAAGACGTGGTTCTGAATCTCCTTGATTGTCAGAGCCTGAACACACAGGGCACAAGGGGCGGCAACCCCTGCATTTTATCCTCCCTGTTCCTCAGTAACTGGTTGACTTTGTGACCAGTTGTCAGGGTTCAGCTGATCAGCTGCAAGCTGACATGGACAAATGCCTGGCAGCGTGGTGGTTAAAGCAATAGACTCTGAATAAGTAATAATGGAGTGGCTCAGTCTGCTGAGCAGCAGGAGACGTAGCTGGGCTTAAAAGGGGGCCCAGTGCACCCTAAGCATAATGAAAAATGGCTTTTCTGCTGACAGTCTGACATTTCAATACAATTTCAACAACATGTAAAGCACCTTCGTTCCTGCATAACTGCGGCCTTAATAAAGCTCTTCCCACTACAGATATTTATGACTAAAGAGACCCTAGCTGCTATAAATAATCCCAAGGGATCAGCTAAAAATAGATTTTTCCATCTCTACAGGCAGTTGCAGCCTCTCTCTAAATTCACTCCGAACCTGAGTGGCCATCACCTCCTCTTCCAACTTTCCTCCCACTTTGCCACTAAGCAAATTGGATTTCCTTTGAGCAGCTCACAGTGCGTTAAAGGGATGAAAGCAGAAAAATGCTCCCTGCCTAATTTATTTATAAAATACCCTTAGTTATAAGTGATCCCACACACACAAATCACATCGCTACTGAAATGCAGCCACCTCTGGGGTAGAGGACAGCAGCTAACAGGGTTACAGCAAGCAGCTCAACAGCATTGTCAGCCAGCTGGAACAGACAACCTTCAATCTGCCACCACCTCCCTGGAGAGGGGAATCTCTGCCAAGATGGGCTATTGGAAGATGGCGAATTATGTTCACCAAACACCACATGCTCAAAGGCAGGAACCTGGCCACCTGCCTCCGCTGAAAGGCGAACAAGGAATAATGTGTCCTGGCCAGGGAGAATGAAATAGTTGGGAACCAAGTCAGAGATAAACCTATCTTGGTCCTTGCTGAGCCCATGTGAAAGGAGGCTGCCTCAAATTAAAGCATGCTACAGAATTACAGTGGGATTTAGAATATTGGACTCAAGTAATATGTGATCTGACATCCTTGTTTCTATACAAGGCATAGAGATCACTTCCCTGAGCAGGGTTGCATTGCCTGGGTTCCTGGCCCCTTACCCGTCTCACTTGTTGGGCGGCCCCAGCAGCCTGGCAAGCTAAGTTCTCACGTTTCTAGTGCTCACAGCCATGAAGCTGTTGTTAGGAAGCCAAATGGTTGGAGTGCAGAATCTGTATAAGCGTATCAGAGGGAATAGTGCTGTCCTTCTCTAGGGCCTCTGAGTATCTCAAAGCATCTGAAGAAGTGAGGTTTTTACCCACGAAAGCTTATGGCCAAATAAAGCTGTTAGTCTTTAAGGTGCCACCAGACTCCTTGTTGTTTGAGTATCTCAAAGAACTTTAGAGCCCAAATTAAGCCTTACACTTCCGGCGGGAGGCAGAACTTAACCCCGTTGCACACACAGCACGTTACACAACACTGCAGAGACTCATCCAAGGATGGAAATCAAAACAGCAGAAGCACTGGGAATTGAATCCAGGAGTCTTAACTGCCCGTACTCTGCCCTAACCAGCAGACATGGTGTTTCTTGCACATCCACCCTCCGCTTTAGGCATGCTCAGGATGGCTCTCTTTGCCGGGTGAGGAACTCAAAAGATTCACAAGGCCAAACCTCCTGTTCTTAATTCATTCCTCTCACGAGAACAATCCACTGTGTTTTGTGTCATTTTAATTCCCCTACATGGTTTGCAACCTTGAAATAACCTCTCTTTCCCGGTCCCCTGTTTCCCCTCCCCCATATGGTGAACATCAATGTTTCCCCAGCATTTAGGAATTTGTTTGTTGTCTTGTTTCTACAATGGTCAGGTTTTGTAAAGCATTTCAAACATGTGCAGTGCGAGTTATTAGATATCCCTACAGCTCTGCTGCTGACAAGGCTCCCTCTGCTGGCTCCAAAGCAGAGCATAAGACATGCTAGTCCAGTGGTTCTCAAACTTCTGTACTGGTGACCCCTTTCAAATAGCAAGCCTCTGAGTGCGACCCCCCTTATACATTAAAAACACTTTTTTATATATTTAACACCATTATAAATGCTGGATGCAAAGCGCAATTTGGGGTGGAGGCTGACAGCTCGCGACCCCCCATGTAATAACCTCACGACCCCCTGAGGGGTCCCGACCCCAAGTTTGAGAACCCCTGTGCTAGTCTATAGCCCTTCCAGAACATTTGTCAGCAATGGGAGTGAGGAATAGTTTTGATGCTGTTCAAATTTGGGACCTAAACAGATTGATGTTCTCTCTTCAGTTATCACCTGGATTTCAGTGCTGTCAGCCAGACCCTCACAGCAGCTCCCCATATCAACTGGAGGAAGGCAGAGCCAGCCCTTTAATCTTTAAGAATTATTTTATTAGGGCGCAGAAATACTGTGCCTAAATATTGCAGGGAGTAGGAAAGAATACATGTTACAGTAAACAGGACAAGTTAAGGACCAATTTCAGCCTTCGGTCTCAATTTCAGTGCAGAGTTGAGCCTTTATTGTCATTTTAATACAGTTTCTGTAGCTTATTAATTAATGGTGCTGTCCAGGGCTGCGCGACCAGCAGAGACAAGAGGCGGCACTAACAGCATACTGACAAATGCCGACAGATTCTGATGTCCTGCTGCGAATCCAACTGTTCAGGTGCATGTGACCGGAAACTGATGAAAGCCAGAGCGCAGGGACTTGTATCATTCTGTGTTTTCTGCCAGGAACCATAAGAATGAGGCTCCACAGCTGGGAAAGCCTGTCTCATTCCTGGTGAAGGTTCTCCGTGTCCCCTGTGGAAAGACAGCAGGAATGAAAGTCAGTGGTTGTGCATATATGTGAAACTCTAGTCCCGAGAATACAGCGTTTACACAGACAGCTGATAAGTAATTTTGTAGCTTTCTAGGGGTTTCCACAGACTTAATAAGATTTTATTTTAATACTGCTCCATCAAAGCACAAATCCTTTGAAAGAAAGTGCTCAGTGTAGTAATGTAAGCGGACTCTACTGAGAAAGCTTGATGTACATTACTGCATAAACTCACTGCTCCAGATTGGTTCATAAAGTTAGACTGAACTCATGGCAGCAACCAAGATGGCTCAAGGGCTTGGCAGCAGTGTCAGGGCTGGAGCATAAGCTTTCGTGGGTGAATACTCACTTCGTCTGACGACGTGGGCATTCACCCACAAAAGCTGATGCTCCAATACATCTGTTAGTCTTAAAGGTGCCACAGGACTCTCTGTTGCTTTTTACAGATCCAGACTAACACGGCTACCCCTCTGATAAGTGTCAGGGTTTTTCATCACATGGCTGTCAGCTCAGAGTCATTACCTTCTGATACCCATTTGGAGACCTAGGTGAAATGAGCTAGCTGGTCAGGCGGGCGTCTAGTGGTCAAGTGTCACTACCACAAGAACCACCGTTACAACTGGCACTTACTGTCAGTCTCAGCAGAGAGGCCAAGTAAAGAATGAGCACTGATCTCCAATCTCACTCCTGGAAGGAATCTCTAGGGCAGGGGAGGGTGGTAGATGGGGAGGCTAACCGGGAGAGTGCCCGTGCTGGAGATGAACAGGGGATTTCAAGTTTCCAGCTGAGCCTTCATTCACCTTTAGTCATTAGCTTCACCTGCTCAGCGCAGAGCAGGAACTCGTTGACGTGTTCGGTGCAGTTCACCACGGAGGCCTGGTTCTGTTTCAAGCACTGTTCAAATGCAGCAAAGGGCTCAGCGCAATCGTGGCGGATCTTCTGCACAATCGGGCTGCAACAAAGCAAACACACACAGACACTCAGCTCCTCACGGGGAGCTTTGCTGACGGTCACAGGGGACTGAACAGACCCTGGAATAAGCCTAGAAAGAACATTTTAAAATCTCTAGACAAAGCAGCTGTAGGGAAGTCAGGAATGTGCCCAGTAGCGGATGTGAACCCCCAGTGATTAGCTGCACAACAGGTGGAGCAGGCTGGCCTTGCGGTTATAGCATTGGTACCGCCCTCAAGAGAACAGGGTTCAAGACCCTGCTCTGCCACAGAGTCCCTGTCTGGGCAGGTCACGTCCTCGCCCTGCCCCTCAGCTGTACAATGGGGTGTGACGCCAGGGAGCGGGGCGGATTGACCTGGGAATGTCGTCTAGTTTTACTGGGACTGTCTGCATGGGGGATGGGAGAGCAGGAGGTAACTTTACTTGAGGGACGATACCTGAGCCAGGAGGGGGATTGGGCCAGGTGACACCTTTGCCCGGGGAAACTGGACAAAGACGGGGGAGGAGCCGGGGGAAGGGGGAGTGAGTCGGCTGCGGGGGAGTTTCAGTTTGGGGCTGGCTGGGGAATCGGAGGGAACCCCAAGGTTGGGGTCTAAGCTCCCTGCCCCCTAGAAGGACCTGACTAAGGGGGCCTGTTTATGCCGACAAGCTCTGTTTCAGACCGGGTTCCTGTTGTCTAATAAACCTTCTGCGTTACTGGCCAGCCGAGAGTCCCGGGGAATCGCAGGAAGCCGGGGGGGCAGGGCCGGACTCCCCGGCGAGCGGGCCCCTGGCTCGCAAGGGCGGGCGCTGCCCAGACGCCGCAGGGACGGGAGCAGGGCGGGGGCCCGGAGGCGGCGGGGACGGGAGGAGGGCCGGGGGTGGGGACCCCGGGGGGACCCTCACTCACTGCGAGGAGGCGCCGCCCAG